GTGGTCTGTAATTTCAGTGCATAAAGATTACACTAGACGTGGACTTGCTGAGAAAATGCTTTTTTATAAGTTGGAAGAAGCCAAGCAAATGGGTTGTCAAGGGTGCGTTGCAGAAGCATCCGCATTTAAATCACAATTGGTCATTTTTCAATTTTGACTTATAAGATAAAAATTAACCAACGATATTATTTTCCATAAATGCAGTTCTAATTTCTATTTCTCTGACCTGAATTTCTAGATTCTTAATCTTTCAAGTTTTAATGAAGCCATTCGTGATTTCTCAAATTCCGTGAAATTAATAATTGAATTTCCAGCTATTCAAAAAGATTGGATACGAGACAATCTATGAAATAAAGCACGCTGACTGGCTTGATGACAAAGGGCGACAGATTTTCAAATGTGATGACAGCACTGATTGTATACAGATTGTTTTCAAACCATTGCAATGAATAATTGTTGTATTATAATTCTCGAAATTTCCGTTTGTTATAACAACGAAAATAAAAAAATGTGATAACAACACCGATCCCGTCGAGATCGCTGTATTTTCAATCTCAACCAAATATTATACCGAAATCACCGCTCGCTGATAGTCTAGAACATACCAAAGCTAATTGACCTAAGAAGATCTATGCGAGTTAATCCAGGTTTCTGATATGGTGTGATACAGTCAGAATTAATCCTGACGGGAAAGGTTTAGATTCTTTGCATCATTTAAGTGTCGTTTCTTTTTTAAGCAAAAAAAGAAAAAAAAAAAAAAGATTTGCAAATTTCAAGTTTCCAAATATCTTCGAGTGAAAAGTTGAACGTTCCGAAAATATTCATGTTATCTGTCTTTCTTTTTCTTTCCAACAAATTTTGGTTTCAAAAAGTTTTCGTAATTTTTATGGCTTCTGAAAAAAAAAGCAGCTCAATTTGGTAAAAAAAAAAAAGTTATTTTGACGGTAATTAGCTCATTTGGATGGAAAATAACGCATTTTGTTGGAAAATAGCTCATTCAAATGAGGGAAATAGGTATTTTAATAAAAATTAGGTCATTTTAATCAAAAATTAACGCGCATGCCTTCCTCCTCCAACGACTCATTCCGATCACACCAAGTTATATACTTTAACAGCTTGCACTGAAACCATCAATGACACTATATTTCGAAGGATCACATAAACCTCTCATTCTAAAGAATCTCAAATCCAATTATTAAACAGATATGACTTAACTTCGTTGATTCATCACCACTGTATTTAAATTTTATTTTAAATTACAAACTTTATCAATTAGATGATTTTAGTTCTCCAAACATTTTTTTTAAGTGGGGAAAGACATATTTTTAGAAACTAAAAACATCCCTTTCTAAATAACTCGGATTCATTTTGTTTATTTTCAATATCATATCTATTCTCACTACTCCTTTGTCCATATATCATAAAATGATAAAACATTGATATTATTTATTCATTCTCAATTCTTTTCGTAAAAATCTCCAGAAAATGAAGTTTACTTAATAATATATCCATCCAAAATTATTTAAATGCAGCAAATAGTACTTCCTTTGCAAGTTAAATAATAAATAATGTAGAAGAATAGCTCCAACGGTGTTTATGATAGCTAGAATAACAAGATAAATAAATATCAATGAAAAAATTTTTTAACTACGATAAATGAGATAGTTAACGTTGGGAAAATTCTGCACAAACAAAATTTAAAAATAAATTATATCTGCAAAAATGTGTAGCAAACGGACAATGCATTCACTTTTATGTTTTCAAAATATAATACTTGCACTTAAGTTTGAGATAAAATATCTCAAAATTTAAATATTATGATGCTGTTAAAAAAATGATAAAAGAATAAAGTGATTACCCTGATATGAATCATAAATTGGTGTAAATAACTGTAATGATATCACAGTATAGTGCTTAATTACAATGGCTATTCATCATGACCAAATATTAATGTGATATTTATGATTTCCGATTCAAATTTGAAACATCATGAATGCAGATGATCAAAAACTTGCATTAAAAAGAAAATTTTATTTTAATGTCGTAAATTAAAGATAGAAATTACGGCTAATCTGAATCATAGAAATACCATTAATGATTAAACCATATAAATATATTTGTTTGCTTCATAAACAGTTAAATACAGATGAGAATAAGGAAATTCTGTTCACACAAAGTAATTTAAGTGGATGATGTTAAAGAAATTAATCTAAATAAATGACCTTTACGGCAAACGGAAATTTTCTATCATTGGACATCGACAAAACAATAACGAGAAAATGTAAACAATGAAGTTCTCAATCAGAGAGGAGAAGTAATTATCCATGAGAAAACGAGAAGAGTGAGGGAAGAGAAGAGTAGAGAGCGAAAGTTTATCTAAAACATTAATAGAAACAGATTATCAGTGAGTAAAAGTGGAGTAGGTTAAGGTTGAGTAAGTTAGTGAGAATGTGAGTGAGTGGGTGAGAGTGAATGAGTAAGAGTGTGTGAATGAGAATCAGAGTGAATGAGTGGGAGTGAGAGTGAGTGAGAGAGTGAGTGGATGGATCGATCGATAGACATACGATGGATATTTTGGAAATCTACGGAAAATCGTTGATATTTAACTATCAAAATGAGAAAAATCAATTTTGGTCGAAATTAATTATATGAGAAAATCAATTTTGGTCGAAATGATTAATTATATTTTGAAGAATATCACTGCACAGATTGATACAAATCGTCAAAATATTTTATTTAATCTGAAAATTTCAACTCGTTTAGTTAGCTTATTAGCATATCCTTTTGATTTAACTCAAGATTACAAGATTTCCTAGCTTTTTTGCTAATTTCTTATTATAATAGCACAAGTTTGCCCAACTATTATTCATTTCCTACTCGATTTATACTTTCTAAGGGAATTAATCGGCGAATCTTTTGGTAATTGTTACCACGATAAAAATTGATTGATCCAAATCGATGGATCTATTGTTTTGGTCATAAATTTAGTATGAATAATTGTTTGCTAGTTTATTCACTAAATATGTTTTAAATTTATTATTCCATCGTATGCGCAATTAACAAATAGCTTTCCTGGCCGTTCTCTCACAAAGCACAATTTTATTGCTAAAATAAATTTTGATATTCTCACATTATTTGTCTTTTGTTATTCTTTCATTCTTCTGCAAGAATAACAAAATTTGAATTTTTTCCATTCAATTAAATTTTACAGAATGTTATTGCCATTTTTGCTCAAAATGTATGATTTGAACGATATAACAGGAAATTTCGTATTAGTGCATACTGGAGTATAATTTCAGAGCTGAATTCTGTTCAAAATACAATTGAAAATTTGATTTTGCTTAGCTAAAAAATGCTAAATTTTAAATCCAAGAATCAAAAATAAAACAAAAATAAAAAAACAAACAAAAATCAGAAATAAAACAAAAAAGTGCTAAATAGTGCTAAACATTAATTTTTATTTCAACAAATTTGCAGGTTGTTTATTCATGTCCTTTCAATAACAAATACCGTTGATCTATATCAAAAATATGAAATGAAAAAGAAACGAAAATACAAATAATCAAATTTTCTATGAGCAATATATATTTATTATTACTACAGCATTACTGCCGATTTTCATCTGAGAAAACAATCACCGTAAGACTCATTATCAATTAGTCTTTGAAGATAAAAGCAATTACGGCCACAACAAAAGCTACTAGCTTACATTAATCAATGTAGTGTAAATTCATTTCAAGCAACTCACGAAAGGTCATAAGTCATAAGATGGAAACACTCTTTAATGTAATCCCTCATCAACCAATCTATGATAGAAGATATTTGAAAAGTTTTAAATAATAGTGAGAAAAAACAAATCGCCGTAAGACTCATTTCATTTGTTGACAGGAACACTTGAAATCAAAAAATAAAAAATTGAATTTTGGATAGCAAACCACAAACCTGAAAATAAAAGCAAAAACCAGAGCAAGAATTAATTGGGAATGAATAAATGTATAAAGCACAAGTTATATTTCAATATTTAACGAAGGAATTATTTGAATGCTTTGAATTAAAATTTAATTTGCATACAAATTAGAAACAAATCAACATTTGATGAAATCAAATTCAAATGAAAAAGAAAAGGGTTACACAGCAAATTTGAAATCATTGTTGGAGACTACGTCTATCACTAATGGACCATAATGATATATATTCAATAGCAATCTCGACTGAATTACAAAACAAAAAACCCGCACGAATAAAATCAAAAAGCATTGGTCTTTTCATATTGAATAATAATTAATTAAAAGGATGAGAAGTTATACATTGTTTAAGTAGTATATCCAACGTCTTTTTTGTAAATAAATTGGTCGACACTTTTTGATGGCTGACATAGTGACATAAAAATTTTAGCCAACGATAGAAAATGTTAAAAATAGAATATAAGAAGAATTGCTAAAGAAATCTCAGTGAATTGTCCAAAGATGAGCAGTGGTAATTTGCAGGCAACGTTTATCTGATCATTAATTCTCAAAAAATTCAGCAGAAATTTGCATTAAAAAAATGCTTAGAAAGTTGTTTGTGCAGAGTAACAAAAATATAATGTGAGAATGTCAGGTAGAGATCAGAAGAGAAAGCAGATGATATTCGTTATGAAAAGCATAAAAGGCAAGAGAGCAAGAGGATTAAATAGTCTCGACACACACACACACACACACACACACACACACACACACACACACACACACACACACACACACACACACACACACACACACACACACACACACACACACACACACACACACACACACACACACACACACACACACACACACACACACACACACACACAAAGATACACAAAAATATTTGCTTATCTTCGTGAGTAAGGGGGTGAGAGAGAATACAGGAAATTAGAAATTATCATGGGTGTTCGTTTCTGTCACTTTTTTTCTTGTCATTTTCTTCTTCCATCAGACTTAGAATAGGAGGAAGTATATTCGGTATTAGCATAGATGTATTATGCTGTAGGTAAATTGAAGTGTGTAATTCTTTTGTTATATGTAAATAATAGTTGCATCGCGTGTTTTTGCGTTTGAATATTTGGTCAATTTACTACTTTTAGAGAATAACGACGAGGACGATCAGAATCCGGGTTCCTAGCATAGGAGGCACTAGCTACGGCAATAGTAGAAGAGCTTCACCCAGATAATTTAAATGATCATTCAAAGCAACTCTGAAGGGAGTTGAAAGTGCCCCAGACAGAACCATACACTCAAGGAAAAGGGAACAATAAAACCGGTAAATTTATAATTTTAATAACTTTGGAAATGATTATATGCCTGTAATTTGTGGGAAAAATATAACATATTTTAATTTCTTCCTGATAAAATCTTATTCAATAAAAAAAATCGATTTACACCATTTATTCGATATTCTAGCAACAATTTGTGCAATAGTATTTTCTATTTTCAGTGTGTGGTCTCTGCGGCAGACAGTTTGAACAAAGGGTGGCGTATTCACGCCTCGAGAACACACAAGCAAGACGGTAAGTATTTTGAAATGGAATTTCCAATTGGTTTTTAAATTGAAAGCCAGTAGATTCATTAATCATTCATGTTCCAGGCTTTTGCGCCCTTTGTGGCCATCACCTCTTGCTGCCACCTGAATTTACGGCCACTAGAGAACGGCAGCAATGGAGCTTCATGCCCTCGATTGGTGTTCAAGGGCATGTGCGGCCGTAATAAACGAACGACAGGTGAAACGCCGAAGACTTGATTTGGTGGAAGAGAAGAGGATGCCCATCACTTCTTCATTCCAGGTAAGAAATTGGTATCACTTAAAAGGCGAGATTTAAATGTTAAAAACGAAAAATTGAATAACTATAATTGAAATTGAATGACTATCTTATAGTTTTTTCAATCATTGATTTTTTTTTTGTTTCAGGTCAACCGGCTTCCTCACACGGCCAACTTGTCGCTGTTTGCTTCAGTTCTCCATCCTCTATCCAATGAAATAAGTCCAAGCGGGTTAATAATATTCAAAAAATAAAAATGAAAAAACCAAGAAAAATTTTAAAAATTGGAAAAGAAAAAAATGTGAAAAACAAAAAAATAGAAAAAAATGTTAAAAGATGAAAAGGATTCAAAAAAAAAAAATCAAAAGGATAAAAAAATGCAAAAAACAAAGAAAAAACAAAAAAAAAGAAAAAATGATGGAAAAAATAAAAAAACAGAGAAAATGAAGGAAATGCTAAAAAACGAAAAGAAGCAGAAAAAAGAAAAAAAGTTTAAAAAAAAATAAAAAGATAAAAAAATGCAAAAAACAAAGAAAAAACGAGAAAAAGTCGAAAAAAATGGAAAAAATAAAAAATAGAAAATTTTAAAAAAATGCAAAAAAAAGCAAAGACAATACAAAAAAAAAATTACAAAAAAAAAAAATAACAAAAAAAAGATTTATAAGAAAAAATACAAAAAAGGGTAAACAAAAAATTAAAAAAATGGGAAGAAGATTAAAAAAAAAAACAAAAACAGAAAAACGCAGAAGGATAGCATAAAAAGTGGAGAAGAATAAAATTGAAAAAAAGTTGTGTTGTTTGATTTAGGTGTGAAACAATCGATTTCGAAGTATGGGAAAGATTGTGGATTTTGTAACTGTTTTACATTTGCATATGTCATTTATCGTTTGTAGTGACTGAGTAAATCGAAATGAAATGGCTTGGGTTTTATTCAAATTATCAGATTTTCGGAATTGTTTTGATGTTTGAATATTCCATCTGATTAGATTTTTGATTAGATTAGACTTTCTTAGTCTTCTTGTTTTTCAAATTTTTAAAGAAAAATTAAAAAAAAAACTTTTTGCACTTAATAGGGATGAAATCCTATTAAGCAAAAGACCGACATATGTCAGTCTTTGCCTCATCATATTATCAACATATTGTCAGTCTTTGCCTCATCATATTATCAACATTAAACAATTTTCCTGGTCGAATGTTTTTGACTTTATATCCTAACCATACATGTGTGTTTGCATTTTATTTTAAGGGCACTATTCCGATTCGACACAAGTTTATGTCGATTTAAAAATTATTCCTTGTTCTGCGAATGGATTGATCATTTTACTCTATTCATGCTGTTTTATTTTGTACATATTGGTGCTACATTTTGTCATACTTATTTCAATCTCACTCCGCATTTTTCATTTACATTTACATTTGCTAAAGCATTTTGTTCGTTGTGGATTTCTTTGTCAGACAAATAGTATAACTGGAACTGTACTCTCAAATTTCCATTTATATAGTTGTTTTTGATAATTTTAAAGGGTAAAACAGTATGAAACACACAACGTACCGGCACATTATTTCTCTGGGATACTCGTCCTTACAAAGCATTGGTATGTTTTGTATGCCTAACGGTAAATATGGTGTTAATCGAATCGAATACAATAGTTGAATTAGAACGCATCTTTTTGCCGTATCTGAATAACTGGACCTTTCCAGAAAGTCATTTAGGCAGTTTAATACAGGTAATTTCTTCATTCACAAGATTTTTTTATTGACGAAAAAACCATTTCTTAATAAGAATTCTATAAAATTCGCATCTTTCTAGGTTATACTTCCGGGATTTCTGTCCAGTTTTTCACACATCTGACACTTATTTGGATCCTGTCAGAAGCTTCCTGTAACAAATGTAATACTTAAATTCTTGTATATTTGAAATAAAAATTTTTCATCCTCCAATTCGTAATTACAGTTGCTGCAGTAGAATAAGCATAACCTCTATTCCATATAATACATTTGAAAACAAACATCAGGATCAACCAATCCTTTAGATATGAAATTTCAGAAGATAGTCATCCTGAATAGCATATAAAACTTGAAAACAGATTCACTCATCACAAAAATGGCAGGTGAAAATTACCAGTGAACTTTGATAATTATATTCTTCATCAGATTTTCTAATAGAATTGACTTGTCAACATCTTTACATGTCGGTTTCATTTACTTCAACAAATATTCTTGTCGAATCTTATTCTTCCCAGTTCATTTAACTATTGACTTACAACTAATTACCTTACTCTTTTATTAACCATATACTTTACCTGACTTCTTTTTTAGTTATATACTTAAAGTGTTAATTATTAATAGTGCAAAACAAAGCAGAAATATCATCCATGCATTTATTACCGAGTATAGTGTTGCAAATGTAGCAGTAATTTGATGATGTTAAAGAAAAAAGCCTTTTTTTTCATCCATATAAAAGCATTTATAAGGTTTAATTAAATTCCATTCTTTTCATCATTATCACACTTATCCTTAAGGGCTAAATTACCGGAAACCAATGTACATGTAAATGCTTCCAATCTAATAACTAGTGATATTTCACTCGTCATGCTAATCAAATCTTCTTTTATGCAACTTTTCACATAGCTTTGTCTAATACAATTATATCAGGATGTTTAAAAGGTTCAAGACAAACAAAAAAGGTTATGAGAGATTAGTTGGTTGATACAGAAAAAGGAATGTTGGTTGAATGATTCATCATATTGAACATCGTAAATTTATTTAGTTCCAATTTGTAGCATTACTTGGGAAATTATATATATAAAAGATAATCATGACAAATATATATATATATTTGTCATGATTATCTTGAGGTTCGCAATAGGATCGGAATGAGCAGCATGGTTTCTTAAATCCATAAACAATAACTAGCTTGACTACATTCAAAGCACTACGAATGCAAGAAAGGAAGAACGAATTTGCAGGGAAATGGCAATTAATAAAAAGGTATTTTAAGATTATCAAGCAATAAAAAAAATTATAAAAAATAAAAATTTTAAGAATTTTAAGATTATCAAGCAATAAAAAGAAGTTACAATAGCTTTAAGTCGTCTCCTAGATCCAGGATATACATTCAAGGTCTATCTCTTTCACAAGAAATAGCTAAAATATCCTAAAAATAGCAGTAAATATACCACAGTTACATTTACCAACATTTAGCGGTGATCCAGAAAGATGGAGGTACTTCTAGAACAATTCCGATGCCACAGTTCATCTATGAAGTATGTCAGACGTTCACAAACTGAGTTGTTTAATGTTCTGTCTAAAAGAAGAAGTTCTGTTAGATGTTAAAGGCAACAGTATTTCTTCTCCGAACTTCTCCAAACCAGCATTAGTGACTTTAACTGAAAATTTTGGAAAGACATCCGTTATAAAAAAAAATCTTAACATGCTGAATTAAATTTATCAAAGAAGATGATATGAATCAGAAAGCAGTAATAGAAGCAATCGAAAAATTTTTGGAATACCAAAACTTCCAAAAAAAGTAAATTATCTGTTTGGATACTCTCAACAGTTTTTATCTTTTTGAAGTTGTTCGATTAATGAATGGTTTTAGGCTACTGAATAGACCAAAGTTAAATTTTGTTTCTTTTAATGACCAAATAACAACTTTTTAATTCTAGTGATTTTCCTTTAAATTGTTCTAGCGCCTACTTATTACCATGGGTATTAGGTTGTTCCTACTGCTTGTAAATTTTAGTTTTCAGATCTATATCTCAACTTTTAATAGCATAAGTCATTTCTATGAACTTAAATCCATTAATTAAATAACAAAAAGATAAACATTGCTGATATATTTTGTGCAGCATTCAAACAGGGTAACTTATTTTTTTTGAAGTTTTCATATTGCGGTGTTCAAAATTTCTTCGATTGCTTCTGATTGTCGGAGTATTCTTTTTCAGTTGTTTTCATTGTTATTTTCCATTCCCGATCGGTTAATTTGACAAATTGTAATTCGGTATATAAAGGTATTTTTTATAATAAGGTATTTCCCCGAATTTTTCAATTAAAGTCTTTCTAATGGTTTTTTTTTTTTTTTTTTTTTTTGAGGAGTAATGTCGTAATTTCTAACAACTAGCAGAGCTCCTTTTTCTAGGTAGGATTAATTCAGTTTCTGAACGTGTGGTATGATTTAGAAATGGACTGTAACATCGGAACTGTTTTAGAATTGCCTTCATCTTTTCGAATCAATGCTAAGTAACTGTAATTGCAACTGTGATAGGTTCACTGTCAATTGTGAGACTATTTTAAATCTTTCTTGTGACTGAATTAGATTTTGAGTTATGTATCCTGAATTTAGGTTAGATCTTGATCCTGGGTTTAGGTGATGAACTTGATAAACTGCTAACTCGTAGCCATTTTCATAATTTTAAAGTTATTTTGATTCCATTTCCTCTTCCATTCTTTGAATATAGTCAACGGTCTAATTTTTTCCTCATAGTTCATTTTGATTGATTGGTGATGAATCCAATTCTTTTATTTCTCTAAGAAGTAATTCTATTTTTTTTCTAGCGTTGATTAAGCGCTTTTTGTCATGCTGCTGACATTCTGGCATGTGACATCAAATTTGTCGTGAAGTTCTTTGACTTTAATTTTCACAGGAAGAATTATTATCTTTTGCCACCTGACTTTTTGATTCTTTTTTTTTTCAGTATCTCAAATTTGGATAATTAAACCTTTATTCTGATAAAATGATTATTTTAGATGATATCAATCAACAAAAAGAAAGATTTCAAATTACGCCTCAATATCACAACCAACCATTCACCCAAATTACTTTGTAAAATGATTTCGATAGGTGAGGTGCAGATCCTTTATAAGATCACAAGTTTTCACTAGTATAGCGCTCTCTATTAGTGCAAACTATAAAGTATATATGTGTGTGACTTAGAATGAGAATATTTAGCTTTAAGCCAAAGGATTCGTGATACAGTAAAAGTTATTATTTAGTTGTAATATTGGATTAGAACTGAGGAGAAATTGATTGAGTTGCAGTCTAGGAGAACTCAGTTGTAATTATACTATTGAAGCGAAAATCCTCCGTAGAGAGTGAAAAGCAAAAAATGGCGTAAAAAAACAAGGAAAAAGATGCTGCTAATGAATTCTAATTCTTTATATATCGGATGATTTATAAATACAACCTTATTCGGATACAGAGAAAGTTATGTGAACAAAAAGAAGGAAATTGTGAACAGAAAGAAAGAGCTGGTTGTAGCTTAACTTTTAAATATTAGCTATCAGAACGAATACATTTACATGTTCATTGGTTTCTGGTGTGTGATAAACTGAACAATCAGAAACAAAGATTAGAATTAGATAAATCATTCATTTCATTAGATATCATAACATCAATTTACATTCATTTTATGCTATGAATCATTTAAATGAGAAATATTGTTATAAATACTTTGATTATTTAGAAGTATTTATATTACAAATTATTTCAGTTTTCTCGACACCATCACATTTGCATTATGTTGCATACATATATAAGATAAAATTCCATGTAAATATTATAAATTAATATTATAAATAGAAATTGCATTTATTATCTACAGATATTAAATTATAAATTACTCTTTCTTTACTTTTACTCTGAAACTGGTTTGCAGTTTTCGAAGTGAAAATGATTCATAAATTATGTTTTTTTTGTTTTCTGTTTTTTTTTTTTTTTGTCCCTTTTCAGTACTTTTCATTTTACCGCCCCATTTTTACTCTATGTTACTTAATAACAAACATTTCCTATTTCAATGCTGTTAACTGATATTTATATATAGTTGTCTGATACTGTAACATAGTGGCATTTCCTATTTTTGTATTACTAATTCATATTTATATATAGTTATCAGATACTCTAAACTAGTAACATTTCCTATTTTTGGCTGCTAATTAATTGCTATATTGACACTGTAAGCTATCGTAGAAAGTCAAATAATTATGTCAAATTTAGTACTTTTCTTACTTGTTTCGTTCACTTGTAAAATCTTATCTGCAAGATTACCTCATAGCAATGAACATTCATCCTCGAATGATGATTCAGCAATTGGCCATAATAAGGTATTTGTTTTTTTTTTTAAATTAATAATAATTTCAAATTTTCTAAAATTTGAAATTATTATTGATTTTTTTGCTTTATTTTAAATGCTTTCTTTTTCTTTTGAATTATTATTTTCTTGATAATATTGCAAATAATCAAATATAGAGCCATAATTTAGAGATATAGGATAAGATAGAAACAAAGTAATCTGGAGATGAAATAGAATACCAAACTTAGCGCTTGATTAGAATATTTATACATAAAAAAAATACAATGAATTAATTTTTGAAATTTATTTGTATATGATTCATTTGCTGTGCTTCATTTTACATTTTCGTTTTGTTCTTTTTTTTTTTTTTTTTAAAGAAAACAAAAAACTTTTTTAATCTTTTTCAAAAGAGAAAAGTCCGGTTCAGTAGAAGGCAGTAATGTATTATCGATTCTAATAAATATTGGAAAATAGTAGTAGCCTTGCTTTTTTATTCTTTGCCTTAACAGTTAGACTTAAAGATTGATGCAAATTTAAAATTTTTGGACTTTTGTAAGACATTATATTATTTTGTTAGATTTATAAAACTTTTTTTTATAACTGCCGAAGCTTCCTCTTAATTACTCAATTTTTTCAAACTATGCCTTTTTTTAATACAACAATTTAGTTTGGAAAATAAAAAAAGATGAATATCAATTTTATAAAAAAAAGAAAAAATACAGAAAAAAATAGCTAGTTTTTGAAAACTTCAGTTAACTCTCGCTAAGCAATATTTGGATATTCCTTATTTTTTATCAAGAGAAATATAAATTTTAACGTAAATAAAACTGAACAGCAAAAAAATAAATATTGCACTTGAACTTTGGTTTTCTTTTTTCTAATTTTTTTTTATCAAAAATGTCTTTTTTTAATAACCAGTTTTGGTAAAATGTTAGGTTTCCCTTTTCATCGTTTTTTTTTTTTTTTTTTTTTTTTTTTTTTGATATGATCGATCAGTTTAGATTTATTTTGAGTTGTTGGTTTTTTCTTTTACTTTCTTATTTTGTGTCAAATTAAACACTCTTCTTTTACTGTGAGCGAAATTATTTGAAATTTTTCTTAAAAAAAAAGAGGAAGATTCAGAAATAATTTCATTATTTGCGACAATAGAAAATAAAAACAAAAAAAAAAAAAAAAAAACGTTTATAATTGCATCATAAATTTTTTGTTATTGATGCAAAAAAAATTTTGGCAATTATTTGATATTAGCAATTCAACAATCGCTGCAATTTAGATTTCTTTCATAAATACATAGTTGATCATTTTATTCGGCTGTGCGAAATTCAATGGAAGCTTTAAAAATTGAAATCGATATATTTGTTTCATAATTTTAATTAGCTTAAAAACTGAAAATTAATCATTCTTAATCATTAGGTAATTTTTGGAGCTTGCATCTTTTAAAAAAATTATATAATATGAAGAAATATTTTAATTTCTGTTTTATTTTGTAATAAAAGATTAATTTTAATATTTCAACACAAACATTGCAATTTTATTGAAATTCTTTAAAGTTTTCATTAAAAAAAATTACACTGATTCAATATTCTTTGATACTTATACAGTTGTGTTCAAATTTATTCATTATAAGAAATGACAATTTAAATTTGGCGTTTAAAATATCAATAATGAAATAATTTTCGATAATAATAAAGTAACATCTAGCGTTTAACGATGAAATCGTGAATTAATTGAAAGAAGGGAAATTTTTTAATTTTAAAGTAATTTATGGTGATTGTTAAAGATTTTATTGATCAATAAAGTAATGCGGACAAATTTTTTAAACTTTTACATCAGCCAATAATATGAATTTTAATGGGAAAATTTTTTGCAAAATTAATCATTTTATTTCATTTTTACAAAATTATTTTATTTTTATTTTTCAACATTAGTAAAGCAAAATTTTCAGATAGTTTAAATGTAAGTTTTCAGATTATCATCATATAGTTTAATAAATTAAAAAAAAAAAAAAAAAAAGAATTCTTTTTACCATTTTAGACAATTTCTGGAGCATATTTAAAAATTTCAGGAGGTAGTTGTGACAACCGTTGCGACAACAACATTAGACTTGGAATCAACGACGATGCAACATACTTTCAATGACATGGATAGTGTTTTGTATGCGGAATTGAGTGAAGATGGTTCAATGCATGTTAAACCAGCTGTAACGCACGTGATTGACGTGTCTTTATTATCGGATGATTTGGTAACACTTACACATATCGACAGGTTAACAACTAAAAAAAATTTCGAATCGTCTCAGAATCAAGAAATGGAAACTACGAAAAATTCAATAAATTCGGATAGTTTGAAAAACGGGACAAATCCGGAATTGAAGTCAGTGACAAATGATTCCAATAAATTTCCGGACGAAATAGAAACAACAACATGCTGCTATAATTTTGATATAACGAATAAAATTGTTAACTTTCAATCGAAATCAAATCAAGATATCGAAGTTAAAATACTTCAACCTGCTGCTATAGCGGAATTTTCGAAGCCTGAACATGAACCTACGTTAAAATCATTATCAGGAAATTCCAGTGAAATGAATGATCCAGTGAAAATGATATCTTTAATCAAATTAACGAGACAAGGAAACGCAAATGATGAAATATCAAAAGGTAACACAACAAATTTACCAATGGTTTCCGCTTCAATTGCTTGCTTAATAGTTTCAATTTTTTTAAAAATTTTGTAAATTTTTCGTTGAAATTTAAATTTTGAATATTGAATTTTTATTTATTGTATATTTTGTGCTCAAATTTTTTTTTGCAAAAATTTTTTTTACTGCAAATATTTTTACATTTGTATAATTAAATTCATTTGTATATTCAATTCAATAGGAACAAAACACAATATAAATCGAAAAGTTAAATTATATTTATTAAAGTACTCATTTCAATTCTTTTTATCTTTCACGGGAGAAGAGAGAGAGAGTAAAAGTAACTCTCTTTCATAAAGATATGAAAGGAAATTTTTGTTGTTATACAGAAAAATGAAAAAAGATTACTTGTAAAAGAGCACATAGCACGGAATTTACTTATTCCTTTGAATTGTTTTGCAACAATATTTTATCATATTGTTTGTGGTATAATCTTTAATTAAATATTTGATTTTAATATATTTAAATAAATACTTGATTTTAGAACGCTTATTGTGCTTCGTTAATGTTTTTGAATGAAAAGAAAGAAAAAAAAAGTTAACGTAAGTTATTATTACTACTTTAGATAATCATAATTCTTTTTCGAAAAAAAAACACAAAAGATGAACCATTTTTCAAATTTGATATTATTGTGAACAATAAATATAATTTATTATGTTTATTCTTTTGGTGTAATATATTTTTACACTAAGCAAAAGATGAGCAAGTAAATTAGAATGACGATAAAATGAAAGATAGCAAGCAGCTAATGCATACAATAGTAAACAAATAAAAGATAGAGAAATTTATGAATTATTTGGTCAATTTTTTGAAACTAATTGTAGAAAATAAATAAATACTCAAAAGCATGTTAAATTTACCATTTAAATTTGTTTCTTACAACAAATGAGGAAAATACCTTGCGCACAGTAATAAATACATGACTGATCATCATCTACTAACAAATTAGCTTCACGTAATGCTTCAAATAATAAATTTTCGGTAAGATATAAACACGTAAATTTACGTCCACCGAATGAACACCACGTTTCTTCTAATACACCACCCATTACAAACCAACCTAAAATGATAACATAAAATTAATCTCAAAATTGTTAATAATTTTTCTTTTTCTTAACAAATAATTGAAATTAAATATTAATTATTCATTTTAAGCTAGAAACTTTGTAATTAATTTATTTAATTGAAAAAAGTATTATAGAAATGCATATATTTTACCAATTAATTTTACTTGGCAAATATATGTAAAATTCTCTAGTATAAAATACATGCATTCTTTTATTGATTAAAATTTAATTAAAAACTTTCACCTAAATTTTCACCTCCTAATTAGTTTGCTAACTAATTACTCCCAGGAAAATATCATTCATTGAAATTTCTGAGGAGAAAGAATAAAAAAAAAAAAAAAACTTACCGCCAGGTTTTACTTGATCTACAACATTTCGTACTGCTTCCTTATATTCCATCTCACTGCTACAACAATATTCCAAGCAAAGAATAGTCACAACTATCTGAAATATTAATTCAAAAGGAAAAATTAAAAATAAAAACTAAAACTTCTGCTGATTAATTAAAATTTTTCAATTAATAAAATAGATATGATTCAAAATATCTCGTCTATTTCAATATTTATGATCAAAAATATTAGCATGAAGTGAATATGGAACTTAATTACTTCGCAGTTTTACTTACATCAAAATTATTTTGGAGAATTTTCGGAGCGCTTATCGATGGTTTATTATGACAATTACAGTGAAAAATTGAACGAATCTGTAAAAAAAAAAAAAAATTAAAACAATGATTCTGTTCTAAAATCACACACATATGCAATGATTCGTTACAATTAATAACATTTTTCATCTTAATTAATTTTACTAATTGCTATCAAAAGAATTTTTCTTCCTCATTGCTTTTTTGTTTTTATTCGAAAATTTCAAATTTAATTGATAGAATTGAAATTATAACCTTTGACTTAGTATATTGTTCCATTTCTTCAAGTTGCAACCAACCGGAACCTTCCACTGAAGCAATCATTTTAAGTGCTGGTGTCCAATCAAATGCACTTTTACCATTTGCCCATCGTGATAATTCATTACGATTTTGCGGTAAATAATCAGCCAAATATATCTGGAATATAATTAGCCTAAAATTTATAGCTAGTCGAAATTTATAAACATCTATAAAGTAACATTTTATAAAAGAGCCAAGTATGTCAAAAAAAAAAAATTCAGTTTTCCTTATGCTGAAAGCTAAATAAGCCAAATATAGAGTTTATCGCATGTCCAAAATGAGCCAAGTATGTCAAAAATGTAGTTTAAAGTCTACATGAATCTATCATTGCAAATCTTTTTTTTTTTTTTTTTTTTGTTTTTGGTTGTAACATGATATATGATTTTTGATAGATTTTCTTGGAATAAAATTTAAATTTAAAAATTTTCAGACAATGAATACTTTTAAAATAATTTATGCTTATATAAATCTTTGCAAGACATACGTTTTTTGCTTCCTCTAATTCAAGTAAGTAAGCAATTTTTTCTTTTTTCTTTTAGCAATAATACTTTTCGTTTGCCATAATTTTCAAACAATATTTATATTATTTTGTCTGAAAACTTTTGACACTAGCAAGTTTAGAATTAAGATTTCAATAAATTCTATCTGAGAAGAATACCAAATAAATGAAAAGATGATGACATTAAAAAAAGCAAAAATTTTGATGTGTCTAAAAGTTTTCAAAGTTGAAATTTTTGACGCCAGCAAAATTACAATTTAGATTTTTTATATAAATTTTACCTGGAAAGAATATCAAACAGAAAAAAAACAACAGTGTAAAAAAAAAAAAAAGGTTTTAGTGTTACCTCTTATTGTAATATTGCACTTGGAAGTTTCTGACTAAAACTTTGACAACCATTGGTTAAATTTCAAAAAATTTGCAAATTTCGTTTCAAAAAGAAAAAATGCAACAATAATGTAATTTCAATGATATTTTACATCCTTTTTTTTTGATATTTTAGAAATAAAAGTTTTAATTTCAATTTCATTTATTTCTTTTTGTTTCTTTATATCATTTAAGAAAGTAAAAGATGAAATATAACTTCACATTTTTTTTTTTGTAATATTATTGATAATTAAATTTTTGATAACCACTAGTTATATTTCAAAATGTTTTGGCAAGTGAAAAAAAAGATCAAATTAAAAAACTGGTAAAATAAATTTTACCATAATCATTTAATTAAAATCATTAATATCATTTAATCTTTATCAGAATACTAAAAAAAAAAAAAATGAAAAAAAGGAAAAAAAAAAGGAACAAAAAAGATTTTTCCAAATTTTAAGTATTCTGATAACTAATTATAATAAATATATAAATGCTTACATTGTTTACTTTATTCCTGAAAACAACCGAAACATGTATGGTTGGTCCAGCACCAAAATCCAAAAGATTATCATAACAATCAATACGCTCAGCAATACTAGGTAACAACATAATCATCATTTGCATTGCTGGATCATCAACACGTTGATAAAAATCCTAAATTAATAATTAAAAAATTTAATTGAATTTCAAAGTTTAAAAATTAGTTCAATTATAAAAAATATTAGATAATAAAATTTTGTTAAAAGAATGCATATCGTTTAGTTGCTTGATAACTATTTCATATTTTTATTCCTCTAATTCAATTAAACTTTTTTAACATTTCAAATCTTAAATTAACTTTACCATTTCAATTATTTAAGTTTTTATTTTTTTCAAATTCGTAGGAGAATTATACTATCCTGAATTATAGATTTAAAAAAATATGCACCGAAAGATAGGCTTGAGAATCAAAATTACTTTCCAATCCATCTAGCCCAACAATTGTATCATTCTCAATTGTCATCATTAATTGTTAAGGCTAAAAAGTTCTAAAAATTTATGAAATTTTAATTAATCGATAATTCAGAAAAAAGAATTTCGTAAAATTGCTTATTGGTTATTTGCTGAAAATTCATTTATAACCTTCAAAACGATCAATTATGCTTGAAAAAAAGAACAAAAAAAAAAAGAAAAAAAATCAATAATTCATTTTCAAAATATAAAAACGTTTTAATGTTTCGGAATACAACGAACGAAAAAATGCACATATTCACTTTCTTCATTAATTAATAAATAATATTTTAATATATATATTTATAGAAAAGAATTGATTACATTCCATTTCATTATTTATTAAAGTATTTATTTGATAAATCATTTTTAAAGATCCATAAAATTACATCCATGCGAATTTATTTGTAAACATTATTTATTTTTTTTTATCATATATATTTTGTGTTTATTATATTCATAATGTTTATTCATTTCTATTGTTTACATATTTACAATGTTTATCATTTATTAATTACCAGGCAAAAATGCATCGTCTTTTTGTAAGTCATTCTAACCTTTCTTTCTTTTTTTTTGGTAGAAATTAATTTTAAAGTTTAAATTATAAGTAATATTTAATAAGTTAAAATGGATGATAAAATAAAATAACACATTAAAGCAAAAGGGAATGTAAAAGAAAGTATGTTTTGATTAAATAGATTAAAATTTTTAAATTGAAAAAGTTTAAAATAAATTTAAAGAGCTATTGCTCACTTCTATTTGCTGTACTTGTGATGAAGCGTTTAAAAATATAGCTCAAAATATTGTTGTAAATTTGAAAAGCATTGAACTATCTAGCATCAAATTACTATCATTTTAGCCTTTCAAATTTTAATTTAATAATACCACCTTTTTTTTTAATAAATTCCATTTTTAATTGTGACATAATTAATTAAAACTTAATTCATTATCAATAATTATCAAAATTTTATCGTTTGTTCATTTATTATAAATAACAAGTAATGACTAAGTAATAAATAAGTAATTTTACTAATTTCATTGCTGTTAATTATACCACAGGTCACCAAAAAATTTTTTAATTTTAATTTAATGATACTATCCGATTTCTAACTGTAACATAATAAATCAAAATTCGATTTATTAACAATAATAATTTATTAAAGTTTTACTTTCCTTGCTGCTGTTTTTTATTGACTTTTAATAACTACTGTTTTTTGATTATTTATTGTAAACAATAAATAATCAAAAAATTGAATTAATCATTGTCAGTTCATTTATTACAACAATAAGAGATGGCTTACTTATTATTAATTACATGACATATAATTAAGAAATTCCACATTACTTGTTGCTTGCCTTTATTATAAATAAAAAATAGGTAGGTAATGAGTATTTTTATTATTATTAGCACTAGTGTTTATGAATACTTTTCTTTTATTTCTCATAAAAAATAAATGATTATTCTCGAACATAAACTACAAAATATTTTCCTAATTCATTTACTCAATTCTTTGAATTCATTCTTTTTAAATTAAAACAACAAGCAAATGAATTAAAATGTCAGGTGAATAACAAATATTTAAATGTCAAACTTATGAAATAAATAAAAAGTTTTTCGAATGGTCTAATCTCTGACGATTACAAATATTCGAAAATTTACAACTAAAATAAAGCAACATATTCACTTTAACAAGCTAAAAAATTAACCAATTCATCAGGAATTATCGATAAATTTACTGATAAGTAGTGATTTGACATGTATTTACAATTTTCAGATAACTAAAGTAAAAAATAAAAAAAAAAAAAAGGAGAAAGTACACATATATACATATGCATCTCATTTGTTCTGCTTAAATATTGCAAAAGCAGTAAAGTTCAGTTTCACTTTTTTCTTTTTTTTGTTTCAAAAAGAAATTGTTTTTTCACACCAAAAGAAAGAGAAGAAAATGAATTATGGGACGATCAAATAACGATTGACGTAATTGTAAAGTAATAATGTTTCGATAAAGAAAGAAAACGAACTTTTTTTTTTCTTCAATTTTTCAAGAAGTAAACGATAAATTAAAAGAAAAAAAAAAAAACTAAGAAACAAAATTTGAAAATTTTTTTTATGACAAATTTCGTTTGCTTTTTTTTTTTTTTTTTTTTTTTTTTGTTTTAAACTAACCACCTGTTAATTCCATCTTAACAAAATAATCGTACTCTCTCGTACCATTTACCTAATCATATTATCAATATTTAAGTGAACTAAGCTTCATTTTCGTTCTTTTTTTTGATTTGCTTAAAAAAAAATGAAAGGTATTAATCAACAGACTCAATGCGCAAATATTTAAAAGTTTAAAGATGGAACAAGAAACAAATGGTTGATTAATTAAATTTCTTTTTTACTTGCTAAGACAGCTAAGTACATATTCAAACAATTTAATTATGTTTTTGATCACAAATTATTACTATTTCAGATATTAAATTGAACTTTTAATTAGAGCACTTAACTCACATTAAACTCGCATAAAAAAAAAAAAGAAAAAGGTAAGAAAAACAAAGGAACGTTAATATGTCTAAATACCAAAATATGTGCGTTGATTAAACTAATAAAAGATTCAACTATTTAATAGTTTTTTTTAATAGATTTTTTTAATAGTTATTTTAATAGTTTTTTTTTTTGTTTTATTATAGTTGTTTTTCAGCATTTGATCAAAGCAATTAATTGTTAAGTTTTGCAACAAAAAAATAAGTAAATAAAAATAAAATAATAATAATAAATTCAATATTTATATGACTTTTAGAGAGGAAAAATTATTTTTTAGCGAGATCAAGGTAAACAAAAAAATTATTAATGATTATTTTTTTACTTATCAATGATAACTAAGGCTAATTTTGCTTGCAGATATTTTTCTGAAGTTTCGGTAAATCTAGAAAAATATAATTTTTTTCAAAATCAAATGTAATATCATAAATAATAGTTTCTTCTTTCTTAATTATAGCACATTAAATTTTTACAAGAGATTCAAAAAGAAAAAAAAAAATGAAAAAGAAAGACAGTGGTTCAAAAATACATATAATTCAAAAATATGACTATATGATCACGTTGGTTCAAAAATAAGATCATATTAAGATTATGTAGAAACTATTATATTACGTAAAAATAAATTTTAATAAAATTTTATTCAGCATTCTAAAATTAAATCGTCTTATTATATAGGATTTAAAAAAATGTTGCATTACCATGTTGAAATCAAAAGTAAGATTATATCATTACGCTGGATTCAAAAAATAAAATCGTATTATTACGTAAAACTCAGAAATAAGACTGTATTAATTCATAAAATTTAAAAAATGAATTGCATATTTATTGATATGCGAAATCATTACTTAGATAAGGTATTTTAGAATATAATAAAATTATATAAAAAAATTTTTTCATTCTTCTTCTCATTACCTAACTCTTTATTTTATTATAATAAGGAACATGTAGAAACCTAAGTATCTGATAATATTTAAACTACCGTATGGAATGTTTTTTTTTTTCATCATTTAACATTTGTAAAGTATATAATATGTATATTAAGCTTTTAATTATATTTCCTTCCTCAAATATATCATGAAATTAACTCTGTCCTATATCACATTATAGTAGTAATTTCAGTATTACTAATTTAAGGTTACCAGTGTGTACATTAGGCTTATAATTAAAAGCTTATTTCCAAATATATGTCAGATTTGTAATTAAAAGTTTATGTTCAAATAGCAAATATTTTGAATTATCAATTTGATATTACTAGTCAAATTAATAAAATATTTAATGCTGAGAAAAAAAAAGTTTGCAATGGAAAAAAAAAAAAAATTTGTTTGCAATGGAAAAAAAAAAAAAACTAATTAAAAGTTTACTGAATTTTTTTCTCTCACAAAATTACACAACAAAAGCTAAATAATATATCGAAAAGGGAGAAAATAACTAAAATTACGTTTAAAATTAACATTGTAAGAAAATCTCCACAAAAAATTAAATTTTTTATGTAAAATGTCAATCATATGTATGCGTAAAAATATCTGATGAATTAAAGAAATGAAGAAAAAGAAAAAATAAATGAAAAGCTTGCATCATTCTTTTTTCTCTACAATAAAAAAAAAAATTATATTTTATGAAATTTTTCATTTATTATATTTTCACAATAATAATTTCGTTTCCATTTAAAATGCAAGAAGTCAAAAAAATAGATAAATAAATAAATAAAAACAAATAAACAATTAATAAATTTCATTTTTTACAATCCTATGCCATTCAACAATTTTCGTTTTATCACTTTCATGCAATGTATGAAATATAAGACAAAATTCAGCTGGAAAAAAGAAAGAAAAAAATTTTTTTTCCCTCCAATATTTTCCACTTGTTCTATTTTATTTAAATGTTGAAATAATGCTGAAATCTACTTAAAATTTTTTTTTTTCACCATCTCCCTCTGTTTCTCTCTGTCCCTTAAACCCGCTTTCTTTCCTCTGTTTGATTTTTATTTGTTTATCATAGTTTTGAATCAATTCATTTTGTCTCACTTACATCAATATAATAAATCAAAAGTTTCCAGTAGCAAACTAAACAAGATGAATAATGCTTAAAGGACGAAAAAAAATTTATCAATATTGTTGAACGTTGCAATTTCTTTTTTTTTAACAATAGTTTCATACAAGTGACTTTAAATTTTAATATTTTGATTAATAAACATGATATATGAAACAAAACCATCATTAAATCGATCATTTGTTGTAAAATAGTTTTAAAATTTGAGATGAGAATAGTTGTTATTGCAATTATTGTTGTCGCATCGGTATTTTACATGTTACATATTGCGTATACAATTTTATTGACTGAAATTCAGTTATCAGAAATTGAAAATTTTAGGACTTCGTCACTTACTTAAAAGAGTACTTACAAAATGCGGAAATGTTCAGATTTTGCAGATCAAATTACTTAAAATAAAGAAAATTGTTTACACTGTTAAATGAGTAAATTTGTGAGAAGCCTTTTTTTCTTGTCAAATCAAAATTTTTAGATTATTTTATTTTAACCGTATACATCAAAAAGTAAAAAGCAGTTTTATGATTCATTTAATTCACACTCTCATTTATTGTGAAAATTAAAGATAATGAATTTTCATCAAAGCATGCCAACACTATTAATTTTTGGAAATAAAACTCCCCAGTATAATAATATAACTGGTATAGAAAAAAAAAAAAGAAGCTAAAAACTGCTATTAGAATCAAATTTTGTACATTGGAAACTTAGAAGTACTTAGTTCAAACTTAATCCATATCTTCATATCTTACAAACAGTAGTTTTTCCTACTTAAAACAATAAGCAATATAGTAAAGTTACTACTTTAAAATCAAATTTATAAATGTTTTACAATATACCACAAGTGCTTTATAATATTTATAATAATATTGTATAAATGAACCACAAATATTTCATACCATAATTTTTTTATAAATATAAAAAATAAACTTATATCATAACGGTGTAAATTTATGTTAAATTTATACCATTTTAACATGAATAAAACGATTGAAATACTACTATTGCATGATCATTAAATTCCATCTATTTTTCATCTATTCATTCTCTAATCAAACAAATGCACCAAGCAATATAATAAAGCATCGTATAACCAATTATTATCATTTAATGAACCAATTACTATCACTTAATGAACCAATTACTATCACTTAATGAACCAAATACTCACATTACTTAATTGATGAACCAATTACTATCACTTAATGAACCAATTACTATCACTTAATGAACCAAATACTCACATTACTTAATTGATGAACTAATTACTAACATTTAATCGACTAATTCCTATCACTTACTGCAGTGGAATATTGTATAATATCATTGATAAATAAAATATTGCATAGTCAAAAACTATCGCATAACGAATGAAATACTACTGTAATAAAGTACTACAGTGATGAAGTGTTACTGTAATGAAGTATTACTGCAATAAAGCACTACTGCGATAAAAATACTACTGTAATAAAGTATTACTGTAGTGAACCGACACTGTAATGAATGAAATGTTGTAAAGTGCTATCGCATAATGAAATATGGTACATATTCCAGTTATTACACAGTACCATGTATAATAACTGGAATACGTATAATGAACTGCTTATGACATATCGTATAATGAATGAAATACCGTATAATGTAGCACTATCGTATCATGAATGAAAAATAACGAATATATTACTACTGCATTATTTTTTCATATTATGATGCATCAATAATTCGATAATTCATTTACAAAAAAAAAAAAAAAAAAAAAAAGAAAAGTGAAAAAATAAAAGTGGAAAAAGGAAGAAAAGAAATTTATAACAAATTATATGAATGATATAATTCATAAAACAGCTTTTCTTCCACTTTTAGAATCATTCATGGTGAAGAATTACAAAATAGCGAAAGTTTATCATTAATTAATCTATCATCAAAATCTAAAAAAGAAAATTTTTTTTTTTAATAAATCGATTATACGAAATAATAATTGCAACAAATTAAAAAAAAAAAAAAAAAAAAAAAAAAAAACAAATTAACGAAAATCGTTTTTTCAACATTAATAAGCTTTTAATAAGAGAATGGTAGAATGATCAATTTAACAGATTAATAAATTAGCCTAATACTTAATGTTTTCAATTTTAATTATATCTAATACATCAAAAAAAATTTGTTCAATTGATCAAATAATTAAAATCTACGAATCAACTAGTTATTATCGTCAATTAAACGATTTTTAACCAGGTATACAAAAATGTTAATCATATTCGTTTAAATACATTCTTTTCAATATTTAGTGTTGACTTATGTAACGGTATTCTCGAAACGCTAACTTGTGTACCGTAATTTGTGATTTAGTGAGTCATTTAATGAGTCATAAAATTGACACTTTATATTTGCATATATGGTTAACGTATTAATTTTGGTGATTGATTAGTTCAGCTATAAATAAGTTACGTTACATAGAATTCATTAAATTTTTATATATAGAAAACTTAATTAATTTTATTATACGACGATTTTTTTAATATGTACTCTTATGTGTCATAATTGAAATAGTTATGATTTAAACTCTTTTATTCAGTTATAAAATACTTTTACAGGTGTAGTTGTTAGTTTCACAAATTATATAGTACAAATTGAAAAAAAAAAAGTTTTTTCCTAACATTGTTGTAATTCCTGTCAAATCAATTTCACTTTTCTTGCGTATTCTTTTTCTTTCCATTAGTTACTATGATCATTGCTTTAAATCTCATCGTCACATTTTGTAAGTTTGATATTTCGCTTATACATTTTCTTTTAGTTTTTTTTTTTTCCAATTATTGTGAAGCTTAATATCCTGACCTTTTTTTTCCGGAATAATAGTTTTAATTTTTGGTAGAAAACGGTTGGTAATTATAACCTGACATGTATTCAAGCATCAGTTTTACATTGTGGTTAAATCTTTCTTGACTAGTTTTATCTATTGCAGGTATAACCTGTAAGATTGGCAAGAAGCAGGGCAAATAATTAATTATTAGAGTGTATTTTGCTAGCTTCTAAGTATCGTTATGGATTCACAAGGTCGAAAGCTTATCGTCGTTGACAACGGCACTGGAGTAATCTTTTCATTTAAAATAATAAAAAAAAAAGTTGACATTGGAAAGCAAGTCTATTGTTTTTCAAAGTTCGGCTGCTCTTTTATTTAATTTAGTTTTTAATCTAAAATTAAATTTGGCAGCATTAAATTTTCAAAGTACTTAAATAAATATAAGTTTTTCAGTTTGTAAAATGTGGTTACGCTGGAACCAATTTTCCTGCCCATATATTTCCATCAGTGGTAGGACGTCCATTGGTACGGTCATCGCAAAAAGTTGGTAGTATAGAAATTAAGGTAAACCATTTCGTCATTTCTGACTTTTTTTTTCTGATTTGGATAATTCCTTTTGTTAGGTGAAAAATGGGTAGTATTGATGATTTTCAGGATCTTATGATTGGTGAAGAATGTACTCAGTTAAGGCAGATGTTAGAATGCAGTTATCCAATGGAAAATGGAATAGTTAGAAATTGGGATGACATGGGTCATGTATGGGACTATACATTTGGTCCAGAAAAGATGGATATTGATCCGAAAGTGGGTTCTTGTTTTCCTTCTCTTTGATCTTTTATAACGCTGTTGTGAGAACCCAACCAAGATTAACTAATTTACTAGGCAGGCATTTATATAACATCGTATAACTTTGATAAAATCTAGTGGCAGATCACGATATATTATTTAAATTTTTTGTTGTAATTTATTTAATTCCAGGACTGCAAATTATTACTTACTGAGCCACCGTTGAATCCAAGTGGTAATCGTGAGAAACTTTTCCAAGTTATGTTTGAGCAGTACGGTTTCAATTCTCTCTACGTGGCTGTACAAGTAAGTTTTCTAGATTTGCTGAAAATTTAATTTTTTATTGAAGATAAAACAGTATTCAACGAACACTTATTGTCATAGTATTCTATTACCCGAACCACTGATGTTGCAGTTTCTTTTAGTTGATTTAATACAGTCCACACTCCTCAGTTAAATCTAGAAGGAATTTTTATATTGAACCATTCATTTTACCTGTATTCCTTACTTTTGTGTTGCAGTACAAATCCGAATTGAACCCTCTTGTTAAATTTTTTTTTTCTTTATACTCATTTCAAATGACTACTAATTGTTCAGATTATAAAAATTTGGTGTTTTGTATCTCTACTTCATTTTCTGCTGTATTTCTTTGCAAATTATCTTCCACTTCTTAATTTTTTGGATAAAAATTCAGGCAGTATTGACACTTTATCATCAAGGATTACTTACGGGTGTTGTTGTTGATAGTGGTGAAGGTGTAACACACATTTGTCCGGTGTACGAAGGATACGCTTTGAATCATTTGACACGCCGTTTAGATATTGCTGGGCGTGACATCACTCGTTATTTAATTAAAGTATGTGGATAGATTTCTAAACCATCAGTTTATTTTACTTTTGTTTTTTACTAAAGTTATAATAATTTTGGAAGTAAAGTAGAGATATATGTTATAACGTTTATGGTGAATAAATGCAAGTATTGTTTACTTTTCTATGATTTGTTCTCACGAACATGAAAGATAATGAGCTGTCATACTGGAATTTAAGAAATTTTGATAAAGTAACCTATTTTTAAGTATGCTTTCACAATCCTTACTTGACGCATTTTTAGCTCTTGCTACTGCGAGGTTATGCTTTCAATCATACAGCAGATTTCGAAACTGTTCGATTATTGAAAGAAAAATTATGTTACGTAGCTTATGACGTGGAGAAAGAACAACGTCTAGCTCTTGAGACGACAGTTCTCACGGAATCATATACTGTTAGTATTCTTAAAGATAATGGCTTGTACAATGACCATTCTCTTCTCCTTGCTGTGTCGGTCGGCTTTTACTCCATTCATTACTCCAACTATCCATTTAGTAACATTTTTAAAAAATTCTTCAATCTGGAATTGAGCAGTATAGGTAATTTGTTTAGCATTTTCTTCAGTATTTATGTTCAAAATAGCATTATCGGAATTTCAGCATTAATAGGTTGTTTGATATTTTATTAGTAATTCTAATGATAGTTTATTGTTCTGTTAAATTTGATTGTAAAGTGCAGATTAATTTAGTTACCGGATGGTCGCGTGATTCGTGTTGGGGGCGAAAGATTCGAAGCACCTGAAGTTTTATTTCAACCACATTTGATTAATGTTGAAAGATCTGGTCTTAGTGAGTTACTGTTTGGAGTTATACAATCTGCTGACATCGGTAAGTAACTTGTATTTTTATTACTCTTCCGTAACCGCAAAATCATTATCAGTATCAAAACTTAATGTTAGTATTAAATAATGTACTTGATTGTCAGCAATATTATTTGCTCTTGATGGATAATAACTTTGTTTGAAACAAAGAGTCTTATGTTTTAGCATACCTGTGCAGCGAAAACTTTGACTTTAGAAAAAGATAATAGGCGCTTTAAATGTAGCTGTTCTTTTTATTTTTAGAGCTTTGCTCAAATTATTCGATCAAATATGTAATAGATTACTCACAGTGAGGTGTCAATGACTTTAAATTTTGTTATAGAACCCTTATTTTTTTTTTCTTTTTTTAGATACTCGACTTGAATTTTATAAGCATATTGTGCTATCTGGTGGTACCACCATGTATCCTGGTCTTCAGAGCCGTTTGGAACGTGAGTTGAAACAGCTTTATCTCGATCGAGTTCTGCGAGGGAATACTGAGGCGTTTCAGGTCTGTTAACTAAAACACCCTTTTCGGTCATGAGTTACCAGACTGAATTTTGCTGTAACGTCTTGATGTAATTATCACTAAGATCTTATTTGACATCTACTCATATACTCATAGTTGGGTTGCTAGCAATTATGTAAGATTTATTTTATTCCAGAAGTTCAAAATTCGAATTGAAGCACCTCCAAGGAGGCAACATATGGTATTTCTTGGTGGTGCTGTATTAGCGAACATCATGAGGGATCGAGACACAGTAAATAATTATTTTTATTTGCATATGTCTATTTTTTGCTTTCACTTCTACGATATTGTTGTATAAGGGTCGGATAATGTTATTGTGATTGTTTATTTCACAACGAGCCAAATTACATGTTTTTATTTTAATTATTGTATTATTTCAGGATTTCTGGATTTCGAAACAGGAATATGAAGAAGGAGGACTTGAGCGATGTTTGAGAAAGTTAGGCATTAGGTGATTTGAACTTATTGAGCTTAGCGTTATGTGTTATGGAATGTTATGTTATGAAATTATTTGTTGTATCAAATTAAGTTGTATAGCTCTACTGATTAAGAAGGAGAATGTCATGCTTAAAATCTCATGAGGCATTGTTATTATTGAAAAATTCCATGTCGCCATAAATGTGATTCATTTTCTTGACTAATTGTACTTCATATGAAAGTATGTAGCTACATAATCGTGTTCACATAACTTTCTCATAACATAGGAAACATCTTTATTATCCAGAAATTATTAAGGATACTTTTTTTGAAGGGGGAGAGGTGGTGGGGAGGGGGGAGACAATTAAGGAGTGATCCATTAAGTAATGAAGACTCATGTCTTTCACATTATTATTCATCATTATTTATCAGTACTGGGTAATTGTAAAGTTGTTGATTAATAATTCTGTTAACTAATAATTTGCTAACTAGTAATTTTTGCTTTACCTTTAAAAATTTAATTACTGATTATCTCTACATTGTTGTTCCATTTTAGTATATTTGTTTTACTGCATTATTTGTTGTGAGAGCTAATGATTAGATAAATAATAGAAACGAATTAGATTTTACTTTTGCTTGTAATGAAAATATCTTTGAATGTGAGATTACGCTTTAAATCCTGAGTTTGCAAATGGGAAGTATTATTATGGATAGCAAAAAGTACGGAAAATAAGAGGGATTTTTGGTGCTTTAGAATTATTAAGCTTTAAATAATATCAGCTTAGCAGTTTCATTATCTTATTGACATTGATGTTCACTTTTCTTGTGCTATGTTTCTAATTGTAATTTCTTGTTTTGTTTTTAATTATCGAAAGTGATAAATTGGCCCAATCTTGTATTATAATCATAATCATGATCATGTTAGGTGGAAATTGTTGCTTCGACATACTTTCGTCTCTTATATCAATTTTTTGGGAAAGAAATTAAATGTTCACTTCCTAAAATAGGATGGAAGAAATAATGCGGAGTGATATGAGAGGAAGAGGGAAAGGAAGTGAAAGAAATGATGAGGAGTAGTTTGAGGGAGAGAGAAGAGACGGATATGGGGAGAGCAAGGGTGAGCTGAATTTTAATATTGAAGAAAATGTTTATAGTATCTTTTGAAAAGGAAATGTTACTTGTGCAGTTTTTTGTAATAAAAAAGAAAGAATAAAATCAGTCGTAGACAGGAAGTAGAATGATATTTGATGGGAGTGTAAGTTCTGTAGTTTACTCTGAGAAAATGGGTATTAATGCAGTGGGTTCTGTGCTTTAATCTGAGTAGCATATGATATAGTTAATTATTGAACATGGTTAATTCATATGAAATCTTTGGTCGAAAAAGTTATACTAATAAATAAGTTCAATAATTCGTCATTTTATTTTGAAATGTTTAAGAGTTGATAAATAAAACTAAATAGGTCACCCGGTAAGATAAGATAATGAGAAAATTTTGCTATGAATTGCATTGCATTACAATTCCTATTAATAGACGTATATATGGATAGTATAAAATGAATATGTCATGATATATTTAGATTATTACTATGTTATGTTTCAGAAATTTCAGTTAAAATTTAGAAAAACTAATTGTCCGAGAAAATAATTGATAATATCGTAATCGTGGCGGAATACCGTTCCACGTTTTGAATGAACAACATTTATCGCTGTTTGTTTTCGAAAACACCCGTACGCTTTTGGTCGACAATCGAACGATCGTTTGCGTCATTGGGTGTTTTATCTCCTAGAACATTATCAATACGGTAATGATGTATATTCATTTCTTTAAAACATTTTTTTTTATTTTTAAATTAAATGTGTTATATTTAAAAGTATACAATGTAGATGATTCACCTCTAAAATGTATGTTATATATTATTATCCATTATTATTATTGTTATTATTATTATTATTATTATTATTGTTATTACTATTGTTATTATTTTCATAAATGTATATAATGGTGCATTTCTTTTCAAAAATGATTATATATGTATATATTTGCTTGCTTATGTATAAAATTTTCACTTTTAAAAAATTACACTTTTTACATGCATAGTTTGTGAAATATATTTATTATATTTTGATATATAGCATATTTTTTTGATGGCAATTTATTTTATATCACTAAGATAGCTTTCATTTAAGAATAGAATATTTCCGTGTACTTTTAATTATTTTTCAAATAATTACTACAATTGTAATTAATCAAATCGTATAGACTCCTTTTTTTTTCGATTTCTCAATATTGAATTATGATCAAAGATAGAAGAAAATAGCAGTGTATAGCTTTCGTGTTGACTAGTTCTTGCATTCATTTTCAGTTTATTCACATAAGTCGTTTTTATGCTCGTTTTATTACTTTGTTATATTTTTCTGAAATTATTGAAATTTTAGGAATTTACGTTTCTCACCTACTCGATTCATACTATCAATGTCTCCCTCGAAAATTTCATCAGTTGATGTGATTGCACAGCGATATGATAATATTATTAAATCGAAGGAGGATAAGCGAGAAGTTGGTGATTAACATTTGGATTGAATTATAATTCAATTTCAATATTTATTCATGAGAATTTACATCAATTTGTTGTTCTCTCTGTTGGTAAATCTTTTCGAATAAATTTTCATGAATTAAATTTGCTTTAAAAAAATTTATGGAAAAAAATTTCAGTATCGAGGATTGGAGCTAACAAATGGTCTTCGGGTTCTTTTGATTTCAGATCCAAAGACAGATAAAAGTGCTGCATCAATGGATGTTAATGTTGGTAGGTATTTATACCATTAATCTTCAATTTTCATAACTTTTTGTTGATGAGGAAAAAAAAGGAAAGAAGTGTGGAATGGGAGATTTATCCAAAGTTGTTATGGAAAATAAGATTTGATGGATGTATTATTACATCTACTGCGGAATTTTGCATTTTGTTCAGGTTTTATTGAGAAATATTTTTCGAAAATTTTATGCCTGTTTATATGTTTACAATATCACTTCATGATTTATATTCAGGACACTTGATGGATCCATGGGAATTACCCGGATTAGCACATTTTTGTGAACATATGCTTTTCTTGGGCACTGATAAATACCCATCGGAGAATGAGTATAGTAAATTTATTTCATCGCATGGTGGAATAACAAATGCTTATACAGCTACCGACCATACGAATTATCATTTCGATATTGCACCTGAACATTTACATGTCAATCTTTTTCACTTAATTTCCTCGAAGAATTTGATTTTATTTTCTATCCCAAAATATTTGCTAGTTTGGTATTATTTGATCAAAATTTTCGTTTACTGTTGTATTACAATTAATATTAGTGATTATCGAATACAGTCATTTTAATCTTTTTGTTTTCCTTTCGTGGCTGACTTTTAGCAATTATTAAAATTAGAGATTCGTAAAAAAATAAACAAATTGCTTTCAAAGATATCTATCATACTTTTCCTTTTGCTACACATCTCTTATATTATTAGCAGTTATTCATTCACTTATTTACTTTTTCCTTCTTTAATATTTCCATATTTTTAGGGTGCTCTAGACAGATTCGTACAGTTTTTCCTATGTCCACAGTTCACGGAAAGTGCAACTGAGCGAGAAGTACGAGCTGTTGATTCGGAATTTTCCAATAGTCTTTTTAATGATCAATGGCGCATGTTGCAAGTTGAACGGTAAGCTGATTTATTATTTATTTCAGTTATATCAAAGTGGTGAAGGAGAACACTAAAGATTCCTATTTTTTCACTTACAGAATTTCGGATTTTTAGAAATTTCCTTTTTTTTTTTTCCTTCTAATAACCATCAATAAAGTATATATATATCGTTTGCTAGGAAGAGTCTGCGTAGTTTCATCATGAATCTCAACTTATTTTGAAACATAAAAAACATCTTTATCGCTATAATAAGCAAAATAATAGATAATGGGCTTCATTGTCAAGAGTTGGAATTTACAATAATTAAAATGGAATTATTTTCCAAGACAATAGCAGGAATACTAAAAACTTTGATAGAGGAAGAAAGCAATATGTTTCTTAAATGTCGTTCTAATACATTTATATTTAATTCTTTCCTGCATCGTTTTATGTTAGATCATTATCAAAGCCTTCGCATGATTATGGCAAATTTGGTACCGGTAATCGTACAACACTTATGGTTGAAGCATTAAAAAATGGAATTGAACCACGTAAAGCTCTATTAGAATTTCACAAGACATATTACTCATCGGACATGTAAGTCCTTATCCTACAAGTGCTTGTATAAAATTATCTTTTACCAGTCACTTTTTGAAATGATTGAAAAAGCTGCAAAAAAAGATATATTTTGTTTCATAAAAAGTTTTGTCAGTTTCATTTATTTCAATTTAAAATTAAATTGACAAGAAATAGGATGCTGTTTTTGTGTTTATTCTGTGCTAAATAAGAATTTTATGATTTCGAACAAAACTTTTCAAGAATGTCATTCGCCATTTTGGGGAAGGAATCACTGGATCAGCTGGAGCAAATGGTCACATCGCTTAGCTTTGGGGATATCGAAAAAAAGAATGTAACAAGAAAAATCTGGAATGAAGGGCCGTATGGTGAGGAACAGTTAGGAGTTAAAGTTGAAGTATGATTTTTATATCAGTAACCATCATAATATTTATGAATGGGCGATTTTGATAAATTATTGGGACCTTTTGTTTGGCTTTATTCCTGCCATAACTTTTAATTGCGTGGTCCGATGTGAAATAAAAATTGTCAGGATGATTTCTTTTAAAAACAATTTTGCTATAAAACTTATTCACGTATGATTTTATCGAGTTATTTTTTCAGTTAGTACCTGTGAAAGACCTCAGATATTTAACTCTGACATTTCCAATTCGCGATTATCGAGATGACTACCGATCTTGGCCAGCCCATTATGTCTGTGAGTTTAATCGCTTTTGATTTATCCAATTATTTTCTATTTTGGTCTTTGAATTGTGATTTTTTGTTAGTGAAAAGTCATTAAAATTTGTTGATCATGCAATAGTTGCACAACTACGCTGTTTGCATTGGATTCATGACAATAGTGGACATTTTCATTTATTTGCTTCGTATGTTTACACTTTCATTAATTTCGGGTTATGAAACAAATGAGAATTTTTTTTTTCTTTTGAATAAACAAAATTGAGTGAGAAAATTCGACGTTTATTTACTTTCTTGGCTTGCTTTTAAGCATTGAGCAGTATTAAAACTGAAGGAAAATTACTTATCTAAATTACAGCAATATCAAATTTAGGTCTCATATTCTTGGATCAAAGCTCATGTTTAGAAACTTTTGCAACTTATCAATAGCATCATAACTGATAAATATCACTTTTCAGCACATCTAATAGGTCATGAAGGTCCGGGATCACTATTATCTGAGTTGAAAAGGCGTGGTTGGGTTAATTCATTGTCAGCTGGTGATCGACTTTTAGCTAGGGGTTTTGGTAACTTCAGCATATCAGTTGATCTAAGCGAAGGTCTGTTTTTCCATATTTCTTTACCATTATTTCTGAGAATTAGACAAACTATAAACATATTTCATACTCGATAAATTTGCTCTATGGAATTTCACTTTGTATTCATCATTAAGTGTTAATTAATTCAAATTAGTTTATGTCCTATTATTGAGTTTCGTAATTTTTATTTTGAAATTAAAAACATTATTATTATTATTTTCTAGAAGGTTTGCTGCATACTGATGATATCGTTAAGCTGGTGTTCAATGAAGTGGGCTTAGTAAAGCAAACTGGTCCACTGAAATGGATCTTTGATGAGCTGAAGCAGTTGCAAGAAATTAAATTTCGTTTTAAAGTATGTTATTTTATTTTTGTAATTTTTCATTCCTATGGACTGCTTGAATGTAATATTTATTTCTGACACCTCAAATTTGAATTGTAATTTCTGTTAATCATTTTCATCAGAATTCAGTCATTACTACTTATTGTAACAGTAAATATTCCAAGTAATTGTTACAGGACAAAGAAAGTCCACTAAATTATGTCACGCAGATTTCTTCGGAATTACAACGGATACCATTCGAAGATGTAATCTGTGCAGATTATAAAATGGATTTGTACAAACCAGGTATTTTGCTTTTCAAGGATATATAATTGAATCTGACTTTAAAAAAGGAAAGGAAAAAGACGAAAAATCATGAGAACGCTTTTTTCATTGCCTTACATACAAGTTATGTTATTATTTCACTCTATTTTTGACTTTAACGGGTATTGCAGATTTGATAAAAGAATTTGTCGAAGAGATTAAACCCGAAAATATGTTTTACGCTGTAATTTCACAAGAATATGCTGGCAAAGAGCACAATATAAAAGAAAAATGGTACGGAACAGAATATAACAATACAAAAATTGACAAGGTTTGTTGTATTTATCTTATTTTATAAAAATAGTCGCATGTTGTGATAACGTGAGATTTTTCATAATGAGAAAGAATTTATAGGTCAGAGTAAAATGAGTGCTAATTGATAAAATTGTTTGGTTAGTTCTTTGAGGCATGAATATTCATTGCAGAAAGTTTTATCGAAATTCAATGAAGCACTAACTCAGATACCAGATTTCTTCAGTTTACCAGCCAAAAATGAGTACATTGCAACCAAATTTGACTTAAAACCACGAGAAAAAACCAAGTGAGAAAAAAAAAAGCAGTTATTTTATGATTTGGATTTTTCCGTTCTATGTGTTAAATCTAAATTGATAATAATTGAATGGATAGATGAAAAAAGAAAAAAAAAAAAACCTGCGTTTCTAAAATACAAAAAAATGTTAAAATTTATTTTTTTTTCGAGAAATCCACTGAAGATTCTATTCTTAACATTTGTTATCTTTAGAAAAATACCGTATCTTGTCGTGAATAACGATTGGTGCCGATTATGGTTTATGCAGGATAATGATTTTAAGCTACCGAAATTAAGCACCCGGATAGCTTTCAAATCGCCGATGATGCATTCAGATCCGCTAAATTCCTATCTTTCTGCAATGTTCGTCATCTGCTTACAGGTAATTTTATTTTGTTTTTATAAAAAATTGGTGAAATAATGGATGGCCATTGGAATATTTGCTTGTAATAGCAATGAAAAATTTGGTTATATTTATACTGTGTGATTTGTGTTTGTTCAGATTTATGTTTTCTGTGCTTTTCTTTTGAATTTTACTGATTAATTGTTAGCTGAAGAGCTTAAATAATCATTTCTAATTGTAAGAAACTGTATGAGTTTAAAGGGAATTCCGTAGGTTCTTTCATAGATTCATTTTCAGGATGCTATCAGTGAGGAAACTTACAATGCACATCTTGCTGGTCTAAAATCGTCATTCGATTTGCAATCTTATGGTATTACTTTACATGTATCAGGTTACGATGAAAAGCAGCCAAAATATATCAATGATTTGATTCAGCGATTTATCACTTTTGTGCCAGGTAATAATTTCTTGAGGTGAATATGCATCATCTTGAATTGCACCTTCATCAGGCGATAGACTAAAAATGAAATAAAAAATTGATTTCTCAGGTTCCAAATCAGCTTAGTTTGATTTTTTTTTTTTTATTTTTTATACTATGAAATAATTGTAACATTATGTGAAAATTTTTAGCGGTGATTAATTTTGCTTTAAGCATGCTAATTGACAGTGATATTTAGATGAGGAACGTTACAAGGTATTGAAAGAAACATTTTGCCGAAATCTGCGAAATTTTCGTCAAAGTCAACCGTACATGCAGGCTCACTACTACAGTACATTATTGCTTGGTAGCCGTCAGTGGAGTAAGGAGGAAGTATTAGCTTGCGCTGAGAGTTAGTTTATGTTTTATGTGGTTTCCTAATGTTTTTGTTCTTTTGAATTAAGAATCGATTAATTCACAATAATAATAATTAATAGTAACAGTTAGTTATAATAGTAATAATAATGATAATAATAAGAAAAAGAATAAGAAAAACAGTAGTAGTGCTCTCAGAAAGATAAAAAAAATATTTCAGATTGTGAGGTTGATAAATTACGGAAATTTGCGCATGAATCTCTACAAGCTTTACAAATTGAAGCACTTGTTTACGGCAATAGCACTGAAAAAGTAAGCATTTTGCTGGATCAGTTTTCCTCTGAAATCAATGATTTTCTTCTGGCTTTTGTTTTAGATCTAATTCAAAGAGTGGATTTTTAGGAGTCTGCCAAAATTCTGGATGACGTTATATCGAAGTTCAAAGCACTTCCAGATGCTCGACATCTTTTCGATAGTGAATTAGATCAATGTAGAGAGCATGAAATTCCAAAAGGTAAAATTTTCATCATTCAGTTAAGTTTTACGCTGTCATGCTACTGTTTATTCTTTAGCAACAACATGCATATGTCATCGAAATATTGAATATTTTACAACTAAGGAATTTTCCTGTATATTAAATTATATTGCATAATGTCTCTCAAAAAACATCTTTCCACATTTACCACTTTTTCCGAAGAATTAAATTGTAAAATTCAAATTCAAGCTTAAAAAGCATGTAAGATATTTTCTCATTTCAGGATGCCAGTACGTTTACAAAGCATTTCAACCAACACATCCAAATGCATCAGTCAATTATCTTATGCAAACGGGTCAACAAGATACTCGAGAAAATGTCTTGTTAGAATTAGTCGTGCAACTGGCTGCTGAACCTGCTTTCAATCAGCTAAGGACAACGGAACAGTTGGGTAAGGAAAATTTTGGCTTCATTTATTTAATAATATATTCAGTTTTATTTCTTTGTATATAGTTCAATCTTACCAGAAGTTTTGATTTTAGGATTTGAAGCGGAAAAGGTTATTTCAAGATTCACAGAGTTACAATATTTTGTAATTTGAAAAATTCCAGGTTATATTGTTCACACAGGAGCGAGGCGAAGTAATGGTGTTCAAGGAATTGAATTACTGATTCAGGGTCAACATATTCCCGAATTTATAGTAGAAAGAATCGAAAATTTCCTCGTAAAATTCAGGGTAGAGATTAACATCATAATAATTTTTTTAATGATCATACTTCTCAAAATATTTTTTTTCAGTCAAAAAAAAAAAAAAATCTTATTTTTCCAGTCCGATCTCGAAAAAATGTCTGATGATGAATTTCTTGACAACGTTGAAGCACTTGCAACCAAACGTCTCGAAAAGCCAAAGACAATGAAAGCTCAGGCAGGCCGTTACTGGGCTGAAGTTGATAGCGGATTTTATTTATTCGAAAGAAGTACTGTAATTAATTTTCAATTTTTCGTTTCCGAAGAATTAGAAAATGTTTAATATTGTTCAGAGATAGCACTATAATCAATCTCTTGAATTTTTTTTTCGTTTTTAAAAAAATTAAACGGACGATGGAAGTTATAATCTTTATCGGATGCTTTTTTTATCAGTATGAAACCAATTTCAGATGATATTGAAGTACCAATACTGCGAAAACTAACCAAAGCAGATGTTATTGAATATTTTGACAAGCACTTTGCGGTGAATTCTTCGGAAAGACGAAAACTTTGTGCAATGGTTTACGCTAATAGCGAAACGGAAGATACAGTTTCAAAGCGTGAACATAACGCTTCCGGTGATGCTGAACAGGTAAGCTTTCTTTCATCCACCTGTATACCAGTGAATCAAACTGCAAATGACATAATCCGTTATATTCAATGAAAAGAAATATTTACTTTATACCAATTTATTAATAATTGTTCCGTTTTCTCAATTCTTTTTGATATTTCTGGAATCACAAATTCACTTCCCATATCCGGAATTATTTGCTTTTGCAGTTGCCTGAACGGATAACGAATATAAGAATATTCAAGTCTCGATTATCGCTTTATCCGTTACCACAACCAGCAGTAGATATTAATCAACATATTTCAAGAGAGCAGAATGAAGTAAATAAGCAGTGATATTTATATCCATTTTTATATACACTAAATATAAAAATTTTGTTTTCTGATTGGAATTGCTGGAAATTTCAATCCTTTATGACAAGAAAAATTTTTGCATGTTTTTTGTTGCAGCAGTGTTATTTATAGTAGCTTAAAATTTTAGTATTTAATATTTTAGGATGCTTCAAAATTTTCACTCCTCCTGTTTACACGGTTTTGTTTACTAAATTTGCCATTACACGAATGTTTTCTTAAATGGTATTTTTATTTTTTTTCTTTTTTAAATATGTTTTATTATTATTGTTGATATTTAAGGATTATTTCTATTTTTCTAATCATTGAATATAATACATCTCATAATATTGATTTGATCGCATACCGAAATAGCCATTTGTTGCTCATTCCTAATGATGATGTTCTCTATAATGTTGTGATGTTGATACATTCGAACTTCTAAAGTTAAAGTTATGCATTAAACTTCATTTCATTATCCGATCTTTTTAAATTTCATAATATTTTCACAGAATTTAAAATTTTCCATATTTTTATAATGTTAAATCTTCATACTTCTCTATGATTATAAAATGCTAAATATGTGATAAAATTGTTGAAAACGACTAACATATTTTTAAATGCTTTCATGTTTATTTTGCATTTGTAAAATTTGATTTAAAGTAATAGTTGAACCAATAAAATGAATAGTTTATATCATTAATCTATCATACATAAATGCAAAGAAATTAATGGTTGATGAAGGAAGATAGAAGTTGATAATAAAATAAGAGATTTTAAATTCCTATCTTTAATTCGAATAATAGGTTAGGAAGAAAGTTTAATACAGTACAATAATTTGAAGGTTTGAAAATTCTTAAATCGCTTAAAAAAAACGAGTGATACTGCTCCTTGCTAGTTATCAATAATCATTCATTCATGAAAGTGCATAATCATATTAATTCATTACTTAATATTTTTTCTTTTTTTTTTTTTTAAAAAAAAAAATTATCTTCCCTTATTAATTGAAAAAAGCAAAAAAAAAGAAAGAAAAAAAATTTTAGACTACTTAATTCTTTTACTTATTATAATTGCTTTAATTATTTTATTTTTTATGATTTAGGAAACAATTTTTCTAATTTTTATTTTATTTTACATACAATATTATTCAAAATTTAATTCTATTTAATACAATTATAAATGTAATTTATAAATGCATTAAACTATTTGGTTCAATTTTTGCTATTGGTTCTTCCGAATTTATCACTTCAGCAACACTACATTCAGTTGTTGTTAGTGATTGCAATGTATTAAGTGGTGCTAATTTACGTCGGAATGAACCACGTACACGTGTTTTGCTACGTCTTAACGAACGACGTGCGTGTATAGCATTTCGCATAATAATTGGTCGATTTGCATCCATTTTAGAGATTTCAGCACACTGTTCGAAAAATTCTGAAAAAAAAAAAAAAAGAAATATTTCTTCAAAATACAAAATATAAAATGTGAAAATTTACTTAATAAAATAATTCATATAAAGTGATTAACATATATTTTTCTTTTCATTAATATATTTCAAATTTTTATTTTAAATTCATAATTAAACTTACATATAAAATTTTATACTTATAATATCTGTAATAGATTAAGGAAACGAAAAAAAAAAAAAAAGTAAAAGGAAGAAGAAAGTGATGGTAATGTAATTGAAATAAATTTTTCTAAAACTTTTCAAATTATCACTTAATTTTTGAAAAAAAAAAAAAATTCTAAAATTTTCTTTTTTCAACTTTTGAATTTTTTATTCTAATTTTATTTTTACCTCGTAATTTATGAACATCTGGCATAATATGCTCCTGTAATTCGCTCATTTGTGCTCCAGTTAGCTTTAATGCTGTTTCTAAATGCTCTAAGGCTTTTTCGGCAGCTTGAAGTTGCTTTTCGGCACCTATTCGTGCCATTACTTCATCTTTTAATTCAGCTTCTGTTATATCACGTTGTTCGCTTACTTCCTGTAAAATTTTTCCCTTTTTTTTTTTTTTTCATTTTCTTTTTATCAAAAATTTTATGCATTTATGGATATACATATATATTTTGTTTTTGGTTCATTTTAATGAAATTCAAAATTATTTTCATTTTGAAATATAATTTATTTAAGTAATAACCGTTCAAATGGAAGATGAAATTAAACTTCTCTTTTTTTTTTTCTATTTTTTCCCACTTTTTGTTTGTATGAAAAAATATTGCATTAGTTTTTTTTTTTTTTTAAATGATTAGTTAAAAAAGAAAATGAAATTTAACATAAAAAATTTCTAAATTATAAAGAAATATTTTTGATATATTTTATGCATTATAAAACAATTGTAAAAAGTCGCAAAAAGAAAGAAATGTTTTATTAATAAATAAAAAATCAAAAAAAAAAAAAAATCAATCTTTGTTGTAATATTTTTTTAAATTATAAGTGATAAAATCATAAATTATACCATTTTCAAATACAAAAAGAGAAGAAATTATTTCTGAAATAAAGAAAGAAAATAATAATTTTACTTTCAATGAATTTAAAAGTTCCATTGTTTGACTATTGTAATATTCTCTTTCCTTCTCCAAATCAATCGTTTTTTTTTCATTTAAGCGAAGCCTAAATTGAAAACAGTAAAATGCTGAATAAATGAAATTTTAAATAAATTAAATTAATTTAATTTATTTCAAAAAAAAAAGTGAAAAGTAAAATTTTCTTAAATTTTATAATAGAAAATGAATTAAAAACGAAAGAAATACTACAATCATACATTGCTTCAACACGTTCCTTTTCCACTAAAATACAATTTGTTTTCGTTTCAATTTCCATTAATCGATTTTTTAATTGACATGTTACAGTTGATAAATTCTGATTTTCAAGTAAAAATTTTTCACGCTCTCTGATTATCGTTGATACTTGCTCTTCAATTTTTGATTTTTCCAAATTGAGCGACTATGAAATGCAACGAATATATAATTTTACTTAATTATTTAATTAATTAACAACAAACAATCAAAATATAAAATTTTAAATTGCAGAAAAATGACATAATTTAGAGAAGATAATTTCAAAATGAAATATGATTTTTTTAATTGATTAACTAATTAAGATCTATGTAATTTCAACAAAATAACAACGTTTTTTTTTTTTTTTTTATTTGCTATTTCTCAATTCTGTATTTTCCTTTTTTTTTTTTATTTTGTTTTTGTTTTGACAAATGAAAGAAACAAAGAAAAAAGCCTGAAAAAAAAAAGGAAAAATAACTGTTATAAATTTCAAAAAATATTTTTATGCATATAAAATTATCAGTTTTATTAAAATTGGTACTTTTTATTTCAAAAATTTTTTTTTAATTTGCAAAAAAAAGAAAAAAACGAAAATTTTGTGACTAAATTTGTTTGCTATATCAATGCTAATATACTGGTACTTTTCTTAAACAATAATAATAATTATAATTTTGTTCTGTTAATTTCTACTATTAATACTTAACATAATTTAATTAAATTTTGCTCATTTGTTTATATCTTGCTAAAAAATGCTCGAACAATTGAATTGTCAAAATAATAATATTAGCAATTAATTTACCAAAAATTTTTATGCATAAATTCTTTTCTCTTCCTTCATTTTCCTATTTTGACCTTTGTTTAATTTTTATAAATTTAATTTGATCAATTACTCACCTGCATATTACTGACAAGATGTTCAGTTTTAGCATTTAATGAAATTTTTTCCTGCTCCAATGTTCGTTTCGTTTCATTTGTAATTTTCAATTCACTATTAAAAAAAAAAAAAAAAGAAATCATTTCTATTAAACGAAATTTTCTCATTAAAAAAAAAATAAACGAAACTAATTAAAATGAACAAATAAATAGAAATGAATAAAAAATTTCAATTGGTTAATGAAGACAAAAATAAAATTAAAAAAAAAAAAAAGAGAAACGAAATAAATTTTGTCTAAAATCTAAATTTCAAATGATTAATTTAAAAAAATAATTATAAAAAAAAAAAGAATTATTAGAAAATAATTATGTAAAATTGAATATGATTAACTTTTTTACGCTTTGCAAATCATCTTTTAATTTTTTTGTCATTCGAATTAATCTTTCTCGTTCCTTTTCCAATTCATCTTTTGCTCTTTCAAGACACTATAATATGATGATAAGATGATGAAATTAAATGATAAGATTAATTGTTTGTGATAAGATTTTTTAAAAAAAAAAAAAATTTTTTTTTTTTTAAAATTATTGTAAACATTTCTTCTCTTTCGTTTCATTCAATTACTATTACTATATTTATATGCTATAATTACAAAGGAAAAAAATGAAATTCAAATTTTTCCATTTCACAAAAAAATTTATCATTCATAAATGCTTAAATAATTTAAAATTATTTGCATTAAACTTTTCTAAAAAAAAAAAAAAAAATGTTTTTTAAAAATTATATGAATATGCTAAATATTATTTATTGCAATTTTTTTTAAGTAAAAAAAAAAAACAATAACTTAAGCTTAACAAATACAAAAAATTTTACCAGTGAACTTATTATGCATTTTATTACAAATTATTTTAAATAAAAAATACAAATTTAAAAAAATTTTTTTTTTTTTGAATAAAGAAACAAAAAAAAAAATTCGAATTAAAATTTTATATAAAAAAATTAATGAAACCAAATATCGGCTATGTTCTTCTTGACGTGCTTGCGACTCGGCTAACAATTTTTCTTCATACATTTTTTTTTCTTCACTTAACAGTACGCCACGACTTTCTAATTCATTCACTAATTTTTCCCAGGAAGTAGTATTCTTATATGAACTAAAATTAAATTTTTTTTTAAACTAAATTTTATTAAAATTTTTTATAAAAATAATATTGCATAAATTTTTTTTTTGCAATCTTACTAAATTAGTTTGCTAATTAAAGCAATTAGAAATTTAAAAATTAACACATTACAGTAAATTTTTCAAATTTTACTTACAAAAATAACTTATATAAAGTATTAAAATTATACGATT